GAGCACATCCAGGAGATATTTCTGCTCTGAGCTTGCAACCTGGAGCTCCGCCCAAGCAGAGAACACCGATATCTTTACCATGACCTGCGCATTGGAACTCAGGCTTTTCAGGTCACCAATCGCGGCATTCTCACTATCTTTGGAGAAATTCTCTAGAGCGCTGACAAGAGTCTTGAGAATCCTACCCATGCGATCCACGTCGGTGACAATACCGATTGAGATGAAGCTAGCACAGACATTGACTGCTTCTGAAGCAAGTTCAGGTGATGAGTCGGCTGCAAATGCTGGGGTAAGAGCGGAGCTGATTTGAGCCTGATACTGCTCCAGCAACATCGCCTCTTCAAAGTCTGGATCGGGTGTTTTGCCAAACATCTTGAGTATGTCTCCTATGATCTTCAGGCCCCAGATACGGAGCTCCGAGACACTAGAGGTTGACGCCGAGAACGCCATGCGAACAACATCTGCAACCTTGCCCTGAAGATCGCTCTGGGCTTTGGACTCTCCATTGGCAGTCACGTCCTTTGCAATTATCAAGAACATCTCATCGATGCAGCTCAGTGCAAAGGTCGTTACTTGCCATCTTAAAGGCTCAACTTCAGAAGTAGCCTTGGTTTCCTTCTCATCTTTAGCAGCACCAGCTGCAGCAGCGAATCCAGCAACCTCCTCGTCTTGCAAGTCGGGTAGGCCACTGCCTTTAGATCCAGATTGAGTATCTTCTGTCTTGGGCCGTGCTCTTGTCATCTTGAGTACAGCCTGGAATCTCTGAAGCCAAGCATTGGTCTCCGTAAGACATGTATGATGCATCCAGTTGCGGATGATGTTGCGAATTCCGTCATGAGACGGAACGGTGTCAAGGACTAGCCAAAGCTGTTCCTCAAACCCAGTCTCAGCTTCTCTGAGGACGTCCTGTGGATTCCGTTTCATCATATTGTGTATCCCATCCACTGCTACATCTCGTAAAGTTGTGGATTCAGACATCAGGTACTTTTGAAGCAACTTGACGTAGTCAGCGAACTGCATATGTCCAGGGGCGTAAAGCGACAAATGCTCAAGGCAGCCCAGCGCAGCCCGCTGTACCAACAAATCATCTTCCTCACGGAAACGGTTAACAAGAGTGAATATCAGCTCTCTTGACTTCGTGGCATCCTGCAGGTCAGGACCCAGGACGTTAATGAGAGAATCAACGCAACGAGCGATAGCGGATGTCGTGGAAAGTTCGAGCTCCAGATTCATTGTAATTGCAGAGGAAATCTCGGCATGATGGGTTTCTGAAACATAAAGCTGAACAAGCATGCCTAAAGTGCTGGGGACGTAGCCAGCAAAACTTAGCCCCGAGGCATCGGATGCGAGTGACAGTGCTTCGAGTGCCCAGAAATGGACCACCGGGTGAGGGTCATTGCAAAGAGACATTAAGATGCCGAGGATTGTCTTCAGGTGGTAACCGGCCGCCATGCCACCCACCTGAGTTTGGATGGACCCAAGTGCCATGGCACAGCCCGCTCTCGCACTAGGTTCACGGTTGCCCACAATGGTATCGACTAGGTACTTGATCTCATTATTCGTAAAGCCATTTCCGTACACATTGCATAAGCGAGCAGTAGCAGCGTACCCCAAGCTTCTGACATGTTCGTCTGGGTCAAGGACAAAGTCGCGAACGATATCTTGTAGCAATGCTTCCACTGCCTGGTTCGAAATGTCACCTGGAGGCGATTTCGTCTCTTTCACAGCTACCCTCATGGTTGTGAGAATGGCTACAGCAAGGTTGACGTTGATGGCAGCCTTGCGCCCAGGATCTCTGATCAGAGTGCCAGCAGATGCAAATGTTCGAATCTGTTCGAGTATACTCTCCTGAACCTTGCCAGGAGTGAGTGGGAAGGCGAATGCAAACAGCTGAATAGCCGCATTGATGACCTCCGTGGCAGGAGGATCAGGACTTGAAGCTGAGTCTGTACTGCCAATATACAAGACAGAGGCATCATGCTCTAAACTGCCACAGATTGGCGAGCGCAGGAGATTATTTATCATGTCTTCTGGACTATCGAGTTCATCTGTGTTTCCATCATCGGAATTTTCCTGCTGCCCAGGGAGCTTTCTGACACGTGGGCCAGCAACAAGGCCAGTAATGCCGAAACCTGAATTGTCGCTCACATCCCAGACAGACTCGAATGTAGCGGCTGCATTCGCAATCGAGGCACTCAAAGAGTTTGGTGCATAGTTCTCCGGGTCGGCGAAGAGTGAAATCGCGAGTGTCAGCAAATTAGACTGCAGGAGTGCCTCGCTTCCACCAGCAGGACTGAGGTTGACGAGCTTGACGTAACATTGCAAGACTCTGCGCTGAACCATCATCTCAAGATCTTGGAGCTGTAGGGCAGGGGCTAGTCTCTGGCTGACGTCGTCAGAGGTCTTCTTAGACGGCAGAGTTCTCAAGAAAGCCGTCGTGTTCTGGAGCATGGCGGCTATTCTCTTTGACACATCCACGGTCAAGAGACGACTGTTGAATTCGAGGAAGGCCAAAATCGAGCCCATCGCGCATTCTCTAACATGTGTCAAGAACGACACCTCTAGGAAACTTCGGGCTGATGTATTATCTTTGGCGAGGGGTTTTGGAAGCGCATTCTTCCAAAGTAAAAGGAGCTGTGATAGATGTATCTTGACAAAGTTTGGCCCCAAGGACATCAAGCCTCCAATAAGAACCCAAGCGACTTGAATCTGTGTGCTTGCAACCCTGAGCTGCGCTTGACTGCTCGATTTCAACATATTTGTCGCAATAGTCAACACGCGACTGTTGATCTCAACTGACCCATAGAGTGGACGAGCAGGGCTTGCACTCAGAGTTGCGGCGAGTCCATGAGCAAATCCAATGCATCTTCTGGGCGAATTACGTCCCGATCCGAGAAGGGATAGTTCTCGGTTCAGGCTGTTCATACAAACAGAAAGGCAAGGAAGAAGCTGTTGGGGGCAGGCAAGGACAAGCGTCTTCATGCAGTGAGATGCAAATACCTGAACAGTATAACTGGAATGTTGCAAGACTTGCAAGAGACCGTCTCGACATGATTCTGCGAAGGTATTTGCCGCAGATCCTAGTGATTGGATAAGCGAAGACACAGCGCTCAGCGTCGCGATCAGAGTATGCTTAGAAGGCTCTGGCCTTTCTGCTAGAGCTTGAGGGTAGTTCTTGAAGACATTGTTGATGAGGGATTTTGCAGCGGATATTTGGCCAGACTCTCCCAAAATCTTGCGCCCAATGACATCTTGTATAACGACGTCGACTATATTTCTGGAAATCAGAAGTCGATATCGATTGTTGGCGATTGTAGAGTGACCCAGCACATCTATCGCGAGACTCTCGACTATTTTGAGATAGTTTGTCTCAACAAGCTTTTCTCCCAGTCGCCTGAAAAGCTTACCATAGCACACACCAATGGCTGCTCGAATTCTGTTTGAGGCTGTCGATTTTACATATTGGGATGCCAGGTTCTTGAGGATATCCGTCAGAGACAGAGCTAGCACTTGACTGCGCTTGCCTGAAGGAGCTGGGCTCGCTGATCTAGAGGGAATGTCCAGCTCATCGTCGGCAATGTTAGGTATCGTGGACTGGCGTTTCAGTGCTTTTTTGGTCTTTTTGCCCTTTGGTGACGCAACCTCTGGTGGACCGCCCTCTGAATGACCCTGGAACAAGGCTTCGGCAAAGCACTCTGCTGCAGCCTGTCGGACCTGGACTGAAGGAGAGTCAAATGCTTTGGATATTGCAGTCTCGAGTTTGTCCAAGTCACTCGAGTACAAGAAATAAGGTGTGTGCCTGAACAATGCTTTGAGAGTCCGGCAGGCGGAAGCAACAACAAGATGGCCTTTGTCGGATGAAGCATGATTTCGTCCTTGCTTCCAGATGTCACGCGCAATCACTTCATCCATGCTACCTTCAACCATACCAACGATCTTCCCAAGCGCGGCAAGGCAAGCTGCACGGATTCCAGCATTGTTCGAGGAGGACTTGAGAAGCTTGAGTAGGGTTGAGCAAGCAAGGGGGTGTAGTCCAATGGCGCTGTCGCCAGCAGAAGCGAACACATCGCCTAGGCAGACAATAGCCGCATGCTTGGTCCGTATCTCAGCATCGGATTTTGACTTTCCACTCGATATAATTGCGATCAAGTCGTTGATCGTTTCGAAGAGAAGTTTCCTGTCTCCAATTCCGAAGATGTGTGCTAAGCATTTCCCCAAATTATTCCGGATGACTCGAGAAGGCTGTGGTGAAGAGAGGTTAATTATCTGGAATATTTCCTTCTTGAGATAGAATTGCTGTGCTGTGCAATCATCCGCTGCTAAGTCAAGGACGTGCTTCGTCAAGCTCGAGACATATGTGAGCAGGAAAAGATCTTGCTGTTCGGCGGGGAGGGACTGAAGCTTGGGGAGATCGAGCTCTGGATTCGTAGTCGCGGTGTCGGACGGAGCTTGCGCTTCGGGATTCCGTGCTGGAGCTGGAGCTTCAGACTCCTGTGTTGACGACATTGCGCACGAAAATCGACGACGTCAACTATATGAGAGTTCGATGAATACGTAGTGAAGTCGCAGGAGTAATTGAATTTGTGGTCTCTTGCTATGAATGTTTCAAGAGGTAAGACTGGTAATGGATACCTAAAGTAGGTAAAGTACTGACTTCGAGATCCCCTAGACTACTTACCTTAGTACCTTATGCCACATGCCACTTAGGTTTCATTGCTTCTAAGAACCACTGTAAGTCATTGTGGGGCATCCTCAGCGTCCGGAGTTTGGCCGATTCACCCTGAGCCGGGCATGATGAAGACTCGGACCAGAAGTCACGAAACCCGAATATTTCTCTATTGACAGATTCTGAGACTCAAGGGTAGCATCTCGGTGTGACCCCCTCGCTCACTATGGCGACACGAAAGTGTCTGAACCCGCTGATAAAGGCACCAAAGTCAATTGCCAACTCAATCTGTCACCAATGTCAACGATCTTTCGTGACAACACCAGCTCAATTGGCTGGTCACAACAAGTGGTCCAAGACAAAACACATCAAAGCTGTAACTGATAAGAAGAAGATGACTGAGAGATCTAATTTCACCAAGACAATTGCTATGTATTCAAGAAGTAGGCATCACTGTGTGCGTGTTTACGGCCTGAGGGTTTTTCTAATATTCGATAGTGTATGGAGATGATGTCAAATTCAACCCTCAACTGGCCACTGCAATAAACGCTGCAACAAAAGGTATATATGCACAGTAGTCTTTAGTCCGGATTTGTGTCTGACTCTTGGTGTTAGCGAGTATACCAAAGAACTTAATCGAGGGCGCAATTGCACGAGGTCAAGGTCGTTCAGCCACAGGCGCACAGCTCGAGTCTATGTCTCTGGAGGTCCTCATGCCCCCTGACATTGCGATGGTCATCGATGCTGAGACAGACAATAAGACTCGGACTCTTCATGACCTGCGCCTCGTGGTGAAGAAGGCCGGTGGAGTGGTTGGGTCAACAACCTTCTACTTTACAAGACGTGGTAGAGCTGTTTTCAAAGCCGAGGAGTGCGGGCCGTCACTCTCAGATGTTCTGGACGAGGCGATTGAGCACGAGGGATTGGAAGATGTCGAGGAACTGCCAGAGGGTGACTTCTTGGCTTGGACCCAGCCAAACACGTTGACAGCCATCACTGAGGCCCTGTCTAAGAAATTTGAGCTTGAGATTCTCGACTCAGACATTGTCTGGGCACCGAACGAGGACACAAAAGTCAGCATTGACACCACAGAGCAAGCTAATGCTCTCGACATGCTCTTCAACGGACTCAAGGAATATCCCGAAGTCAGAGCCATTTATGCCAATGTACGTCAGGGAGCTGTAGGGGACGAAGAGTGGGACAAGGTTGAAAGAAACCTGGATGTATAAAACATAGAACAGCGATGAGTTTGTAACAATTTTGTACGATGCTGTATTTTGCCCATACCAACAGAGGGGGAATATTTCCAATGCCTTCCAAACGCCATGAATACATCGTTAATGCTGCCGTTGCCGAACCCTCTGGCTAATAATGTACATGCTTGAATCCGATTCGCTGGGCTTCAGGAATCGGGCTGGTCATTCTCGGGCTGCTGTGCTGCTCTTTTGCGTTCCTCTTCAAGCTTTTTGGCCTGTCGGAGCTTTTGTCGCGCCACGATGCGGTCATACTCGGCTTTGATCTCGTCTCGGTCCTTGGGGATCTTGTTGCACTCTTCGGGCTTGGGCCAGAAGCCAGGTACGGCGAAGCGGTTATCGAGGTTGGTGCCAAAGTAGAACATGATTCCGATAGGAAACATGATATACGTGCCGAACTGCGGACATGCCATGTCAGTGTCTTGTTCGCAACTCGTCATCGTCTTCAACAGAGCCACTTCGAAACACATAAAACTATGCTGCGGGAACATAACATAAACATACCTTGAACACTTCGAGGTTAAGACCACCCATTTTGAATGTCGTTTTCTTTGGCACCTTCTTAGGCAATTGAGTTGATGCTGAGAATGGAGGCAAAATGTTTGTCATGCATGACGGGATGATGCTTTCTAGACACATACCCCCGGTAGAGCGTTAGAAACTAGGTACCCCGCTATGAAAATCAGATCACGATGATTGGTAGCTTTCATGTGAGCTGATGCAAGCTATTTCTTGAGACATCATGATACCAAAACTACCCAAAGACCTACCTATACAGAAAACAAAGATTCATATTAGGATATTCCCATGAGATTTTGCTGCTTTCTCGAATGTCTTGGCCAACCATTCCCTCAACGAAGAGGTATATATAACGTTTTCTAATCGTATATCATCCTTAATCCACAGCCCACCACCTGTGCGTATATATATATATATATAAATATGTAAACTCCTTATCGCAATATGTTCAACGCCAACAACGAGCTATCCAGAATTCCAGGCCCAAGACCTTGACGTATGCATAAGATCCCCAAACTCCTTGTGGTACAATGTATTCTTAGCTTAGCCTCGGACCACCAGCCCTTGCCTTTTGAGCTTCTTCCATCATCAGGCGTTCCGTGAAACTGCGCGGGGTGCCAGAGAAGCCGGTATTGGCGACGCTGGCGCGGAAGCTGCTTAGATCTGCTTCATCCATGCCGCTGCGTCCGTCCAATCCCCCAACAAACGTATTGAAGTGCCCTAATGAGGCAGCCTGAGCATGTACTTCGGGATCACGAACGACAGGCATGACTACTGGCCGTCCTTTGTATGATCCCACAGAACCAGCTTGAAATCGGGCCGCGATTGGTGTCGTCGGCCCTGAGCCAGGCCTCTTGGTTATGTGTACTGCTGGTGAAGTTGCGTATAGAGACTGCTCAGTCTCCGGTACATCCGGCAAGTCAACTTCGATATCCTCCTCGACCGCAAGGGGGTTTGGTTTCGATTTGGGCTTTGGCGGCGCAGATAAGCCGCCGCCTTCCTCAAAGTGAAAAAGCTCGTCTTCCTCATCTAAGTCTTCGTCGACGGCTCCCAGTTCGTTGTGAGTACCAGAACTTGGAGCTTTAGTAGGTGAAGCTGGGCTTGCATCATGGCCACTGGCCTGGCTCTCCTCGGGGATTCTGTTCAAAGATGGCGATGCAGGAGCTTTCTTATTGGTAAAAGATCTAGGTTTCGCCATTGAGAGAAAGTCGTCATCGGATGAATCCTGGTCCTCGTCTGGGTCCTCACTTACGCTCCCCAACGTGCGTTCGATCCGAACAGATTCTGGAACGTGGCGTGGCGATGGCGGTTCCGGTGCAATAATAATCGGACTGGCCCGTTCTTCTGACGGAGATTCAGAAATGCTTGCATATTTCTTGTCCTCTTCACCGGAGCTTTGATCTGGGTTTGAATTAACCTCGGTCCACACTCCTTCCTCCAACGGCGCCCTAGATAGTGCTCTCAGTGCTTCTGAAGATGAAATCTTTCGGGGCGGTGGTAGGTCCTCCAGGTCATCGTCGAGCATAGATTCCGCGCGAGGCTGGTCGGTGGATGCGGCAGACGCTGCGGGGGGAATCATGGAATCGGTAGGTTGTGGTGATGCTGTAGGCAAGACCTCTGCTCCCATGACATCAAAACGCACACGTCTAGGACTCTGTGGAGGTTTGGAACTACTTGAAGACCGTCGTAGGGCGCTCCGTGGTGTTTTCGACTCGCTTCGATCCGAATGGCACGACGAGACTGTATCATTGGTTGAGCGGCGAATATGACCTGGCCGTCCAGGCGAATGAGGCACTACCGGCAAGGCATTCTGCAGTTGGTCAGTGCCGTTATTGGGTTTCCTTCCTGTCTCAATGGCTGAGTGTTGCTTCTCGTCTGCCTGGATGCTCGGGTCAGGCAACAACATGTCGAGAGGAGGAGTGTGGTTATTTGTGAGGTGAGGAGAGGTAGTCGGTCTTGGAGGAGAGCCCTCTAGCAGGGGAAGGTAAAAGAGCAATTCGTGATGTCGATCGCGGGGGCTGCCTGGAGGCTCTGCGGCTCCCGATCCGGAGGTAGCGACAGTGGCCGGCGGGGAAAAGTGGCGTTGAGTCGATTCAAGTGGTACAGTTTGTGAGTCAGCTGCAGCTTTATTAAGGTCCAGATCCAGACTTGTGAGGACTGAGCTGAGGTCTGGGTATTTGGGTAATGACTGGGCTATGGACTGGGCAACATTGGAAGCGATGTCGGGTTGTGTGTCTCGGAGCAGATCGTGGTAGTAGCGCAGGAAATCAGCTGCCACCTCGTGGCGAAAGGTGTGAACCTTGTGCTCGAGCTCTGAGAGCCTCTGAGAGAGGCTATTGACAAGGCTTGCCTCATCCATAGTCTACTCGTATACCTACAGTACTGTACTCGTAATGCCTTGAGTTTTAACAGGTTCCTCCAGGCGAGCTAAGACTAGACAAAGAGGGATGTCTCGGTATGCGCATGACGCAACAAGCTCGGGAAAGATGTTTGCCTTGCCAGAGAAGGGGATTTTTATGAGTGACGGCACGTGAAGGATTTTGCAGGATTGTGAGTAGTAAGGGCGGGAGATAGGTAAATCAACGTTAGAATGGGGATTTTGATTTTGACGGCGACGACGCCGTGGGCAGACCAAACACAAATCGAGGTTTGGGGGGATGATAGTGCGAACATTGGTACGCCTAACAGCGGCCCTGGTTCTAAGTCTGGCTAGACCATTCTAAAACTCGACATACAATGGGTCTCGATCAATCTCTACCTACTTATGTCTCCAACATTTTGACAGCCCAGAAAGAACATGATGAATCAAACGAATGGATGGATAGATACGATATTAGATGAGTGAATGATTCGACTGCTATCCGTCCTACTGCAATTCGCCAATTGACGGCTAGTTATATGTTTTACTCAATGGACGAACTGGTTGGTCTTCTCTGACTTCGTCAGCTCTGATCTAAGGTTATAGTAGCTCAGCCAAACAACGATTCTTTGTCCTGACTGGCCGGTTCCGGACACTTATTGCGACGATCACTTTTCTACACAACATCTGATCCAAGCATAAGACACGCCTGAATACATGTATAAGTACCTTTCCCCTGCTGCCCTGGAAGCATTCGGCCAGTTCGATTGGGTATGTTGGGAAAAAAAGAACCCCGCCGGTTAACCCCGTTATCCAAACACCCATGACTTGCACCTTGTCACAGTCAGTGCGGGTACCTCTCCAGCTATCAGCTGCAGTTATCTGTTTCGTCATGTTATATGAAAATTCTCCTGTGAAAAGATCGATCGAATCCAACTCGGAACTTTGATTATACAGCACCCTCAGAAATCTCAGCCAGTTGCACAGGAGCCATCTTCAGGCTAGTCCCAAGAATCCTTGCTCTCATTACCTAAAAAGGCAGGTCTACGGAAATACAATATTCCTCAGAGACATAACTCTAACCTTTATACAATCCGTCAGTCTGGATCATAACAAGATGTCCATTGCAAGCATAGCGATGAAGGTTCGGAAAGAGATGAGAAAATGGTGCGCTGAGGTCAACGCACAGTGGACTCAGGTCCCATTCCGGGTTTGTTAAAGCCTTATTTCCTATAGGTAAGTATAGGTACATCAGACGACCGCTTAATCTTGAAGCCAGTTTATCAAAACATTAAAAGAGGTATTTTACTATTCAACTCGACATACATATACAACGTTCACATTACTAGCCACGTCAATTTTGTTGTTCTTGAGCCCGGTTTCTGTCCTAATAGGTGATCGTAATTGTATGTAATAAGCTTCTTCTCACAACGATTCAGAATGTCGACTCGCTTGAAATACCAGGTTTCTACGCCACACAGTTACCAATGCATAGGTAGTATCAACTCAGGTGGGATAATATTCTAATCAGTTCGCACACTCATTGCTTTACATAAACCATAATAGCGGATTATGAGTCCCTCAATACGTTTTATTGGTTGTCATCCATCGCAAATACTATATTATAACACTTCCTGGCGACCTTACACCGCCTTCTTGTTTAGGAACTTGGGACATATTTTGCCGTAAATAATCCTGGAGCTCTACAAGCACTGACTGACCTGAGCTCTCCGCAATTCCTCAGGTACCGACCTAGATGCCCTAGTAGCCAATACTGCATTCGACTCGACGACGGCATCATACCTTGAGCGACTTCGAGATACTTGACTATATAATACTTCTCCCTTGGTAGCGCCTGAATAGCAGCCATGTCAACAATAACCCCCGATGCGCTTCAGTCAGGACAGCCGCCCGTCATTCCCCTGTCCTTCAATGGTAACCAACCCGAAAAGGTGACGCTCTACCCACTGTCGAACTACACGTTTGGAGTCAAGGAAACCCAGCCTGAAGAGGACCCATCAGTCATCGCTCGTCTCAAGAGACTCGAGGAACACTACACGGAACATGGGATGCGCCGCACTTGCGAAGGCATTCTCGTCTGCCACGAGCACAACCACCCACATATTCTGATGCTGCAAATCGCCAATGCCTTTTTCAAGCTCCCCGGAGACTACCTGCGCCCCGAAGACGATGAGATTCAAGGCTTCAAGTCGCGGCTGGACGAGAGACTGGCGCCTGTCGGCCGCTTGGGAGAGGGTGAGGAAGCTGGTGACTGGCAAGTGGGTGACTGCCTTGCTCAGTGGTGGAGGCCTAACTTCGAAACGTTCATGTATCCGTTTATCCCGGCGCATGTGACGAGGCCAAAAGAGTGCAAGAAGCTCTACTTTATTCAGTTGCCCAAACAAAGTAGGTCAACCGATCATCATTGAGAAACTAGATACTTATTCTTTTCGTAGAGGTTCTAAGCGTTCCCAAGAACATGAAGCTTCTGGCCGTTCCTCTATTCGAACTCTACGACAACACTGCCCGATACGGCCCACAGCTTTCTGCAATTCCCCATCTTCTCAGTCGATACAACTTTGAGTTCGTGGACGAGAATGGCAACGTCGTCGCTGCCACACCAGGGTCTGCCGCGCCAGAGGGCTATGTTCCATACACAAAAGTCTTGGCAGGCGCCGATACGGACATGAAGGAGGAGAATGGAACAAGCTGATCCCCCTACAGGACCGCGGAGACACGGCGATGGTGTTCGGCGTTTTTGGTTGTTTGCTCGTATAGGAAGGACGTGTAAAAGCTCGAGTCTAGGTTTTCTCTTTTCTTTCCCTTTTCTATACATCTAGGTCCCACTTTTCTGTGCATCTCACTCAAGCCTTTTCCCCCTGGATAGTTGCAACGACCCGTCTCTGGTGGCGAGCGGCACGGAACTCAAGGTACCAGATTCCCTGCCAAGTTCCTGTAGCCTAGGTATGGCGATATCAGTCACTTATGGCCGAGTTAAAAATTGGCTGGCACTTACAAGCTTTCCATCCTTAATGGGAATAGTAACGCTCGCCCCAATGAGTGCAGACTTGATATGGGCAGGCATGTCGTCTGGGCCCTCGGCACTGGCAGCTGTCAATGTCTCCTCTTGCGACTTATACGCAAAGCACTCACTCATGACGGTATAGAGCCTCTCCCTTGGGTCCTTCAGCTGGCGCGATTCTGTCAAGAGCATCGCTCATATCCTCTCGAACATCAGAGTCCCCTTAGTTTTCTCATATCAGCATCAAGAGCTCTCCGGGCCCGTATAATTCAGCTTACAGTTCTCGTTCAAGCTCAAAGCACAACTCGTGTGTTGAACGAAAAGGTTCAAAAGGCCGACCTTGTAATCCCGAATTTCGGGAAGTGAAGACACAACCTGATCAGTTATGAGGTATGATCCCCGTGACTTAGCAGGAAGGGTGAATTGCTTCTGAAAAAAGCTCATGGTTGTTGCCGTCGAACGGTCTATCACTGGAGGGGCAGTTGAGCGGGGTTGAGGGGATCCTGATAATCCAACAAGGCTAAAAGGCAGTGTCCAGAGATAGTGAAACAGACCAGGGAACAGAGAGATTACAAGTAGTAAACAGAGAAGCACTGGTGTCGTTGCAGAGTTGAGACGTGATGTTTGAAGCTGAGGCATAGTTTAGAATCGTGCTTGAAAGCAAACAACCGTCATAGTGGGGCCGGAGTTGGACTCTATGGGTCTCTTTCTATCCGTTTGTTTCAAGCTCCTCTTTAGCCAATTACAGCGCACCATTTATAATCCCTTCTAGGTAGTTCCCTTACACACTATCGCCGGAGGTAGGCAAGCATCACATTCATTTAGATAATGTGAAACAGCAGCATAATTCAGGATCCGAACGCTTCAGTGGATATTTGTGATAGTTCTTAACAACATGTTGAATCGATGGTGATTTTGACATGCCATCAGAGCAAATAGACATGAAGACCGCACTAGGAAAGCTGTCGGTTTGTTCTTTCATTGTATTCGCGGAGTATATACAGAAGTTTGAGTTCTCCATTCAGAAACATCACAGTACACGGACCCCTTTTGCCTCTAGCACATGTCTAGATAGTGATCCAGATAGCAACCCTCCCTTTCCGGTCCTATCGTTCGATGCTGATTATGACAGAGGGTAAGAAGTCTCTGGGAGGGATTCGAGATGGGTGCGGTGGTGTTCGTGGGCCTAAAATATAGTATCAGTATTGACAAAGCATAAATTGCTAGGGGTGTTTCGTACGAAAGGTAGGCCGCAGTAGCCACAAACAGCAATCTCGGGCTTGTCGGTGTTGATGAAGACTCTGGGATGACCCTCGGGACCACCACCACCATTGCAGGCAACAATGCGCTCGTGCGTCCATGTAACGGGTTGCTTGTGAATCATCTCAATGGCGGCCTTGGGTTGAGGCTATAACACAGTTAGCTAATTTGATATTCCATCCTAGCTCCCTCGCCTCGGTTGTACCTGAAGATCGAAGTCGGTCTGCTCGAAACGGGGGCCGGTCATGGCCTGAGAACGTGGTCTCTGGCTACGGGACCAGACACCGACGCGGTTGGGAGCTTGGTTGATCTCGACAGGCTTGTTCTCGTTGACGGGGGCGGGGGCAGTCTCGTTAGTTTTGGTAGAGACAGCAGCCTCGAATTGCCGAGCGGAGGTGGTAAAGGCGCGCTGGGAGAGGCGCGCACTGCGCGCAAAGACTCCAATTGCTCTCAATTGAGACGTAGCCATTGTAAATTCGTCGATTTCCCGGTGTGCGGATCGAGTCGTCAGTGTCGGCGCTGAATGATCTTCCCGTGGATGTGAGGCATTGAACTTGCCTGGTGATGATTGCAGCCCCGGATCCCTGGTTTATCCGCGACCGAAATATTTTTGTTCTTCTAGACGGAGGTAATGCGCCTGGGTAAGGAACATCGCGTTTTGCGATAAACACGGTTTTTTTGCCCTCTTGTAATCGAATCACTACAAGAGTTTGTAAATCGATCTTCATGAATTAACTTAATACACAGGGCCGTTTTCTTCCCTGTAGCTATAGCCTCTCCACGTGTTTGCGCCACCGGAGCTTTTCCCACTCGAATTATACTACATCACCTACGAAGCGTCTTCGCAAATATAATAATCGTTGACACGAACATTCATCATGGCGCCCGAAACACCACGAGCAGTCTCTTCGAGACTTCTTACTATGAAGTTTATGCAACGGGCAGTGGCCTCAGAAAACTCGTCCCCGGATTCAGAAACACATTCATCCAAGAAAAGAAAGACTGGACATTCCCCAGCGGCGGGTCGCCTTGACCTGAACATTGACCAGGCTGCAATCAAAGCCGCTCTTGATGCACAAGAAACCAAACGACAAGAGGCCCTGGAGAAGCATGTTGGGGCCGACACACATTGGGTTCTTGACAACCCATTTGCTGGGTTAAAAGCTGCAAGTCAGACCAAAGCACCTCTCAATGTCGTGTATGTTGGGTATGGTGATATGGATTCATCTAATGATTCAGGCGATAATGAGGACGTGCCGAGAAACGGGCGTACTTCAACAAATAGCTTCAAGAAGGCGGCGAACCAGGCATGTCGATCACTATGCTGTGATAGATAGGACCAAGACTGCTGACTGACCGTGACAGAAACCAGAATCCCAGAAGACATCAGACAACGAGAGCGAGAGTGAAGATGAGGACTCAGACGACGCAAATACACCGGCGCATGGACAAAAGCGGAAGCCATCCAGTGATAGCCCAAGCCGTTCACGCTCCCGTTCCCGGTCACGGCCAACTGCAGAGAGTGCCAAAGCCAAAGAATTCCGGGATAAGAGGAAGAAAAAAGAGGTGAAGCTAAGCAAGCCAACATCAATATCCTCTGGTGGTGGTATTTCCTCAGGAGGCGGGAGCCAGTTCTCACCTGCTGGAAAAGCCATGACCTGCTACAAGTGCCACCAGACTGGTCACAAAGCTGTCGACTGTCCTAAGAGGGGTCAAATGGCGCACATGTATGATTAGACCATATCAAGTCCATGGGGATGTATTTACTTGATGTCATCTGCGAATTTGACACTCTGCATCATCTCTGACCCAAGTCTGGAGCTCCTTGGTATATACAGGAGGACGCTACCTATTTGCCCATTCCCACATCATTATATACCGGGGCCAGGCGAAATGGGGGCAAGCCAACAAGGTTAAGAAGTGAAGGAAGTGGGAAAACGAAGATTCTAGCATTGTATATCGCACAGCAATTATCGCAAATGCTGAGCAAACCCCTTTAATAGCGACTGTTAGACAGCAGCTTCATGGGTACTAAAGTGCATCCCCTGAGCAAAGGCAGGAAAGCCATAATAATTTGCCGATTTTCGTGATTAAGGGCTTGTTGGACACAAGGGATACAGGGGCGACTTGCATTGAGCTTGTACCATGTGCACCCAAGGTATGTGATGTATACTCCTGAGACTGCAATGAGATGCAGCCACTATTACTACGGTATACAATCAGTGAATCACTATGGTACATACATGGACATTATTTACCCATACTACTCAGAATCTCTACCAACTGATCAGCCGATAATTGGTGTTAATGTCAAATTAAGGCCGTAGTATCACGTATACAGACAGCCAATAACACTGTTGCACTGGCAACTTTGAGATGAGGCTCAGGACTTCTGTGATGTTAGGCAAATTGCCCAAGCAGAACAGCGATCGATATATGTAGCGCTGTGCTTACAACTCCGTGGATGGTGATACGGAAGTGATTGAGATGCCGAGAAGGATAATAAATAGCCTCTCATTTCACCCGTACAATCTCATCTCTTCCAATTTACACAAAATTTAGATCCGTTTATATATTCCAAATATCATCCGGGAATTTGGGCCCATTTAGCACCATACTTTATTAATTACCGACCTATTGGACGGCACGACATTGAACATAAGTTGAAATTGGGCAAATATTTGACCAGCAAGGTGGCCGCTTCATGTTACTCATCAAAGGAAGCAACATATGCAAGCAGCATACGAATCCGGAAGCTAAGGAACAATATCTAATTCTAGCGGCAACGGTGGTGCTCTATTTGACGCCTCACAGATACATACAGGTTGGAGTAGTCTGCACTCCTCGTGAGTTTTTTCTCTTCTTTGTTCATAGCCTCCAGGGAGCAAGAAAACCTCTGATGTTAAACGAGAGTGCAAAAAAAAAAATTATTACTCAATCTAAGGTCTATCAAATCTACACCAAATGATACTAAATTTATTCAAGTCTTTTTGTCGTTTAGGATAGAGATGCTAGGTTTTCTTGCCTCCCCTTGATCACTTCTGTCCTATTCCAGTCAGGAACCCGACAGGGACCTTTCGGAACTCTAGGTAATGGAAGGTAGTTGATGTATTGGATTGGTCGGACGCCTAAGGATCTGCCGCGACCAGGGGTCACCATTCACAGTTTTTGATACCACAGAGTAGAGATCCGACTTATTGAGCATTTGGAAGACGAAAGAGAACAGTCTTATTTATTTCAGCCCATGTTCGCGAATCACTGAGCTTCTATGTCAGCATAAGAACCCCGAGAGGAGCGTTGCAAGAAACTGACCATGAAATAAGTACTACCTTATACCATGGAAGCACATGCCTAGATATATGGGTATTATTCAGGCTTTGATATCATTGGTGTTGATTCCCATGTATGTAAGTAATGATCATGTTCAGCTCTCTCGATATTCGTACGTGCGAAGGAGAAAAGAACAACATCCATACCCGTTTTGACACCATCGTCTCGGATTTATTTGCCTATCTGCCACCTCCTTTTGTTCCTTCATACACGCACACATCTCCGCCTCAGCATTCCACGATGGTTATTAATAGGCAGAGGCTTTTGTTGTCTGGCCAAGCTCATCATACGTGATGAAGAGACAGCACCTTGCTGACGAATTGTTGCTTAGTTGTTTAGCCACCTCATTTTGAACACATCACATTAGCAAGGACAAAAACGAAGAAAGGCCTGGAAGGACTTGGCTACCTACCTACCTTACCCAGCATCAACTCCCCGGCATTCCCTTTAGCATCTATTCAAATCTAGCACCCGCAAGACAACTGAGAACTGTCGTGTCCCTCAAAGAGTCCAGGGTCCAGAACGTTCGTGTCTCAATATCCATTATCCTTGTCAACTTCCAGAGCTACTAAGCAAGCCATCATCACCCAACAAGGTTGTTCTTGTCCGTCCTCGATATCAGGGACCAGCCAAGACCCTTGATTCCAAAAAGGATTCGGGATTGGTCATTCGAAAACTGATCCTATTTCGAGATAGGGTCCGTACACGCCGAGAAACTCTTTCATCATTACCGAATCGGTAAAACTCGGTATCCTTCTCTTCTCTTTTCTTCTCTTCTTACCCTGACAGCCATCTCAACGGAGGCTCACCCATCTTTACTGGTAACACTGCTCCACAGGCATCAGTAGATCGCTGGTTTTGCACAGACCCTTGGCTTCTTTATTCTGCTGTGCGCGTGCTCAATATCGAGTGGCGCACCCCACAAGCTCAATCATCGCCTTCAAAGTGGTTCGGTCATAGAAGGACACAATTCAAAAGTTCAACTCAATTCAACAGTCTGACTGGTCTGGCTCAAGAATATCCCCCGTTTGCGCCAGCAATATTCTAACCCTAGTCAGTTAGAAAGTGAGGAAACTAAGCTAAGGTAACCTCCCCATGTCCTTGCAGAGCCCTCCCGAGGCGATGTTTACATACATATAACCAGCACAGGTACCTTTTTCATGACATAGGTAACTAATTGTCTGCAGCCCAGCTTGCCTTTCCAAGGTCTAGGATCCTAGCTTCCCCATCTGCTTCAGCATCTTTCAGATCTAGCCCCTGTATCCATCCATTCCATTGCTGGCATCATACCCCTCACCCCTCAGTAAGTACCTTACCTACTCCCCCGCGACACGGCCCTGCCCTGCCCTGCCCTGTAGCCTCCAGGGACTGTCTTACAGTGGGAGCCTTACCTACGGGACGGTATCCGTTCTGTACCTTACTTCCAGGTCACTTCTGCTTTGCCATTGTCATACTTACCGTACTGCATTATTTTCTTAATTCTCGACATCAATTGGATCACATTCGTTCCATTGTCCTGCGTCTATTGTCCTGTACGCGCCGACTTTGTCCAATCGACTCTCGTACCTGAGCACGCAACTCGTACGAACCCTTGCGATCGGCGACCTGCCCTACCACAGTTCACGGCCGTTTTCTTCCTCCGGTTTCCGGATACAACTTGTGCCGTGTGTGTCGGTGTCACTGTCGGTGTCGGTGTCGGTGACAGTATCGGTGTAGGACTTTGGTTTTGCGCCTGCATTTGCATCTGCATTTGCAACATACACAATGCCTCACTCTCAGCATGAAGAAGATGCCTCCGCAGCGACGGGTGGTGCTCCCATACCGGTGACGCTTGTTACCGACTCTCTCGAGAAGCCTTCCCTCGATGACCGCGACTATCGAGTCATTCGTCTTGGCAATGAGCTCGAGGCTCTCCTGGTGCATGATCCCGAGACCGATAAGGCCAGCGCTGCCCTGGATGTCAATGTGGGAAATTTCAGCGACGAGTCTGATATCCCCGGGATGGCCCATGCGGTTGAACATGTAAGTGCCCCAATTCAACATTTGTGATGTCATACAAACAGACAGTGGACTAACATTTCTGCTTGTCAACAGCTTCTTTTCATGGGCACCAAGAAATTCCCAATTGAGAACGAATACGGCCAATACCTCTCCGCCAATTCAGGAAGCTCAAATGCTTACACTGGGCCAACATCGACGAACTATTTTTTCGATATTTCTGCCAAGCCGGACAATGACCAGGATCCTTCAGATACCAACCCTTCTCCTCTGCGCGAGGCCCTGGATCGATTCGCTCAGTTCTTTATTGAACCGCTCTTTCTACCCGAGACCCTGGACCGAGAGCTGAAAGCTGTTGATTCAGAAAATAAAAAGAATCTTCAAAATGACACATGGAGGCTTCATCAGCTAGAGAAGTCTCTATCCAACCCTAACCACCCGTTCTGTCACTTCTCAACCGGCAATTTTGAGGTTCTCAAGACACTTCCTGAGGCACGTGGAATTAATGTGAGGGACAAGTTTATCGAGTTCCACGCCAGACACTACTCGGCAAACCGCATGAAGCTGGTTGTTCTGGGTAGAGAACCGCTTGACGTGCTTCAGAAATGGGTTGCCGAGTTGTTCTCTCCTGTCGTCAACAAAAAGCTTCCACCAAACAGATGGCCAGGCGAACTTCCTTTCAGGGAAACCGATCTCGGTATGCAGTGTTTCGCGAAGCCCGTCATGGACTCCAGAGAGCTTAACCTGTATTTCCCCTTCATCGATGAGGAGTTTATGTTTGCTACTCAACCTAGCCGATATATTAGTCATCTCATCGGGCATGAGGGCCCTGGAAGTATCATGTCATATATCAAGTCCAAGGGTTGGGCAAATGGTCTTAGTGCCGGCGCCTACCCTGTTTGCCCTGGGACTCCTGGTATCTTCGATGTACAGGTTCGCTTGACGGAAGAAGGTCTTAAGAACTACCCTGAAATCGTCAAGATCTTTTTCCAGTACATCACTCTCCTGCGTGAGAGCCCACCCCAGGAGTGGATATTTCAAGAGCAGAAGGGAATGGCTGATGTCGATTTCAAGTTCAAGCAGAAGACGCCTGCCAGTCGCTTTACCAGCCGAATCAGCTCGGTCATGCAAAAGCCTCTTCCTCGGGAATGGTTGCTCAGTGGGCACAGCCGTCTCCGAGAATTTGCTCCTGATGAGATCGAAAAAGCCCTTGCCACGATTCGCCCGGATAACTTCCGCATGGTCATTGTATCACGCAATTATCCTGGCAACTGGGACCAGAAGGAAAAGTGGTACGGAACTGAATATCGACATGAAAAGATCCCCGAAGATCTTATGGAGGAGTGCAAGAAAGCTTTTGCAGTCTCTCCCAAAGATCGACTGCCTGCCCTTCACCTGCCTCACAAGAACCAGTTTATTCCCAACAAGCTCGAGGTCGAGAAGAAGGAGGTGGCCGAGCCGGCACTGAACCCCCGGGTTCTTCGCAATGATAGCATTGCCAGGACATGGTGGAAGAAGGATGATACCTTCTGGGTTCCTCGCGCCAATGTTATTGTCAGCTTGAAGACACCACTTATATATGCTTCGGCAGAAAACAACGTCAAGGCTCGACTGTTCTCAGACCTCGTCCGTGATGCACTCGAGGAGTACTCGTACGACGCGGAGCTGGCTGGCTTGCAGTACAACGTCAGTCTCGATTCGCGCGGCCTGTTCTTGGACGTTAGCGGCTATAATGATAAGCTGCCTGTGCTCTTGGAACAAGTCGTCACAACAATGCGAGACCTGGATATCAAGGAAGATCGTTTTGAGATTGTCAGGGAGCGCTTGATCCGAGGATACAGCAACTGGCAGCTGCAATCATCCTACCACCAAGTTGGCGATTACACCAATTGGCTCAATGCCCCCGAACGGGACTTTATTGTAGAGGAGCTCGCAGCGGAGCTTCCAAGTGTCACATTGGAAGGTGTCAGGCTGTTCCAGAAGCAGATGCTTGGTCAGGTTTTCATCGAAGTGTACGTACATGGTAACATGTACAAGGAGGATGCTCTCAAAGCAACCGATATGGTCGAGTCCATCCTGATGCCACGGGTTTTGCCCAAGGCCCAGTGGCCTATCCTGCGGTCACTCATTCTGACCAAAGGTTCCAACTACGTTTTCAGAAAGACCCTCAAGGATCCTGCCAATGTTAACCACTGCGTCGAGACTTGGTTTTATGTCGGTAGCAGAGAAGATCGCGACATTCGAACCAAGACTCTCCTTTTGGACCAGATGCTCCATGAGCCAGCCTTTGATCAGCTCCGGACTAAGGAGCAACTCGGCTACATCGTTTTCAGTGGACCTCGAGCTTTCTCGACGACTTATGGTTTCCGCTTCCTCATCCAGAGTGAAATGACACCAGAGTTTCTTGACTCGCGTATCGAGGCCTTCCTCATGAGATATGCAGACACTCTGGAGAAGATGAGCGAGACAGAATTCGAGGGCCACAAGCGGAGTCTGATCGTCCGGCGTTTAGAGAAGCTCAGAAACCTGGACCAGGAGTCCACTCGTCATTGGAACCAGATCACGAACGAATACTACGACTTCGAGCTTGGTAAGTTAACAAAGGGCATGCTTTATGTGGTGAACATCTACTGACATTTTTGATAGCCCAGCGCGATGCCGCACAGATTAAGCTCCTGACCAAACCCGAGGTCATCGAGTTCTTCAACCAGCGCCTCAACCCTGCCTCCAGCCACAGGGCACGGTTATCAATTCATCTTCAGGCTCAAGGTAAGGCTGAAGGGGTCGATAAGCGACAGGAAGAGGCTCAGAAGAAGGCCGACGAGGAGCCCTCCCCTGGGGATGCTGTAAAGACGGCCGAGGAAATCACTGATGTCAGGCTTTACAAGGCCGGTCTTACCGCAAGTTCAGGGGCCAGACCCGTCAAGGACATTAACGAGTATGAGGATACGGATGCAAAGTTGTAGAGGTTATGTTGGGTCTTGGAATTCTCTGGGTTAACGACTTTATGTTCTTGAAAAGCCAAGTTGGGGGGTGGGGGGTACATCTAGACAGAGGCGCGATACATTGACATTGAATGGTAGAGGGGAGAAGACACTGGACAGCAGGAATCAGATGCTTGTAAATGCATACTGGTATTTGGAAACTCGTTTTAGCCAGTCAGTTTTGTACATGACTATAACAGCGGTCGATCGTTCTGGGGTAGCCTTTGTTGAGACACAAAATGAGATGTGACTTGGTGATGATACTATTGGCCATTGCGATGGAGTATCCACATTAGTAGCTATGATGTTTTACGCTCCCAGTCAGCCATGAAAGCTGATACAGGTCGCGTACAAAGCTCAGGTTCGTGACTAAATACAGAAGAACCAGCAGTTTTTCGCACTTCAGCACTGTTTTCTACAGTAACAGTTGTAAATCAAAGCATTGCACTTGGGCAAAAGGACAGGAGACAGGCAGGGCCGTGTTGACCGTCAAGTGTCATCATCGTCCAGATGCAAGCGCTCATACGAACAATTTTGGAAGCGTGGACTGCAAGGGGTAGTTTGAGCTACGCATAAGTTGTGAAACAGCAGATCAGAAAAGGTCGGGAAGCAAGTGAATGACTTATAAGGGGAACATGCAGTTGTATGTATTTAGATTTCGACCTACAGGAAAACTGGTCGGTAATGGTCTTATGTATTATAGTGCCCTACTTTATGCCCCCCCTAAGTACCTTTTTCCCCTTTTTATATATATTAATATAAAAGTAACTTCTTTATACAATGATTTTTCCTTGATTTTAAAGGCCTTATTTTTATAAACAATACTAATAATATATATTATAATAATACGCCCCTTATGTTTTTTATATTATTATAGACCAGTTTTACTATATTAGTCTTGCAAACAAAGGAGCAAGTGACCTTTTGAAGACATGCAAGGGCTCCTAGCATGGATGGATGTGGTTTAACTCTTGCAGCTTCGAGGCCACTCATTCATGGGTCACGATAAACGGAAACAAGTTGTAAGAGTTGTTAGATTATTAGGTAGTTTCAGCTTCAACCATCCTGGGCTCATTGGAAAAGCCCTTCAATTGGGAAAGCTCTTATTATAAGTAAGGTGGGTGAAACAACCAAAGATCCAATCCAACGTTAATTTACTCCAAGGACACTTTAAGCACAGGCCCCAAACCTAGCGGTCAACCCTGGGTGATTAGCGGGCTTGTGATGTGAGTGTGGGGGAATGGAATCACCTCAGCCAGAGAACCTAAAATAAATGCAAGCAAAGATCCTATCCACTCAGAGGAGTTATTTTGCGATTTAGTGATCCACTATCAAGTCAATATTCGATGGCGAAGTTCAGACTTTGTCGTTATGTACTAATGTATATCATCTAGGGACCTAAGTATGTGTATATGTGAATGGTTTACCCAGGCCATAATTATCTTAATGACATATATAAGCTCGGATCTCATCTTGATTCATCATTATCGCTGCCTAAATGTACTTGAACTTTCCAGTGTCAGGGCACCCAGCTACCTCTACCTACGAATCCATCCATCGTAAAACTCGAGTCAATGGTCGCCCCACACTGTAGGTCGTTCTCAGCGGTCAGAGCCCCAATGCCATCATAAAAAAAAATTATAGAACCTGTTCAACCCCCCCCCCCCCCCCCGCCTTCCTCTGTGAAAGAAAAAAAAGAACCTATCCAAACTCTTACACGGCCAGGCTCTATTGGTTTGGACCTGTCCTGATTCAGAGTAAATGCAGCAAGACTGTTGTCCTTACTCGTGCCTTGGCCACCACCAGATTTATACTCATATTTCCGGTCTACGTCGACTACTTATTTGCCCTCAAAACTCGTTTGACTTTAAGGATAGGAACATAGACTTCGTCTTCCGCCTCCGCCTCCGCCTTCGCCCCTCCTACTCATACCCAGACCCCCCGAGCTGCCCGGGCAGCTCGCCTTCAAGACGTCGTCCTCAAAGAAGAGAAAGCTCTTGCGAAGCGATCTACCTCTAGACTCGATTGATTCGTCGTCGCCCTCTCCTGACTCAGTCCTACCCTCTTGCGAAGTCGACGACGATCCCGCTCTCTCCTTCTCCGCCTCTGTGGCCTCCAACTCGAACTCGTTCCTCCGGGCCGACTCACAACCCGCCTCGAGCCTCCCCCCGCGTCTCCAGCATCAGACAAGTTCTCTCGTCTCGGCCGATTACGCTTCATCCGCTGCCTCGAGCCCCTGTGCATCTGCCTACGCCGATCTTTCCATTGAGAGTGATCGTGGCGGCGACGAGACTGGCCCGGCCCCGACTTTGGCTTTGGCCAGAAGCCAGTCTCCCTTGCGTCTCTCTCACCGAGCTATCATGAATGGCGATGCCGACCTGCCCCAACGCTCCTCATCGCCTTTGAAACGACGTGCTTCCAGTATGGATCCCGAAAACGATGCGGATAGGACCCGCGATGTCGACATGGGTACATCACAAGCCAATGAATCTATCGAGGGAGCCTCACAGCTGGCCCCCGAATCGCTGCCTCGTGATATGAGCGTTGAAGCGCCTGAGCCTACGGCAAACTCAGCCACTGATGCTTTTCCTGCGCAGCGTAAGGCTCACCATGTTTCCAATTTGCAAGTACCGCAATCCGTCGCTAATTCTGGTCTCATAGCAATTCCTTCGCTGCAAGAACAGATCAAGATCATAGAGACTCTCTTGAAAGCCTATCAGGAGGCGCAAGTGAAGGAAGGAGACAAGGCCTATCTCGTCTCCAATACCTGGGTTCAAAAAGCACTCTCATTGCGCGGCGGCTCCAAGGACAGCAAGGAGGGAGATTCCACATCGGACCTTCTCGGCCCTGTTGACAACTCGGATATCATTGAAGAAGTCGTTACAGAACCTACCGGCAAAGAATACATTCGTCTAAAGCAAGGAACTAACGAGAATGAATTCACACTCTTCCCAGAGGATGCTTGGAAGATGGTTGTCGACTGGTATGGTATCAAGAACGGTCAAGAAGCCATTATTCGTGCTGCTATCAACACTGCTGAACCCGGCGAAGAGCCTGTCATTCAGTTCGAGTTCCACCCTCCAGTTTTTACTGTTCACCGTTTATGGTCTGAAATTAGCCCGCTTCCCATCGAGCAGTCCCTCAAGGCCAAAAACCCTCCTCCTTACAAGTTCGTCAGAAGTCGCAAATACCATGCACAGACATTTGTCAAGGAGATTAAGACAGCCACCGGTGTACCGCTAGACCGCAAAATTCGATTGTTCATGGTACCTCAAGTCCAGCAGGTTTCTGGCCCCTCAGAGCCCTCACGAGCCCTCACGCCTCCGGATTCCCCAGGTCGAACACACAACGGAGCTAGCTCTACAGACACATGGTCGAAACTTCTCCTCGACAATGTTTCGTTTTCTCAAGTCCGTGATCAAAGGGTCAAATGTAAGCTGGAAGACAGGACCATTGACCCCAAATTCAACGGCAGTTCAAACTTGACCATGTTCGATCTCGTGGCAGATCAAACTCTGGTCATCGATGAGGCCATCGACTCCTTCTGGGTTAGCAACTACACAGGGAAAACTCCTCCAAATGGATTGGCCATCCCCACCAGAAGTGGCCTGGCCTCTTCTAATGCGAGCGGTCGAAGCAGTCCCGCCCCCGGTGGCCCATTAACACGCGGCCGAACGGGAAAGAAGCCAGGTCGGAGCATTGGCGTCGTTGGTTTGCAGAACCTAGGAAATACATGTTATATGAACTCTGCACTTCAGTGCGTACGAAGCGTTGAGGAGTTGACCAAGTACTTCTTGACCAATGAGTATCTTGATGAGGTCAATAAGACTAACCTCCTGGGATACAACGGGAAAGTTGCTATAACGTATGGAAATCTTCTGAAGGAGATATATACGGAGGGCAGGGGCTCTGTGACTCCTCGAGACTTCAAGAATACGATCGGCCGTTGCCGGTCGACTTTCTCTGGATATGGGCAGCAGGACTCGCAAGAATTCCTTGGATTTCTCTTGGATGCTCTTCAGGAAGACCTGAGCCGAGTGAAGAAGAAACCTTATATCGAGAAGCCTGACTCCACCGACGACATGATCAACAATCCGGAAGCTATCAAGGAAATGGCAGACAAGGTCTGGGACATAACACGCCTCCGGGACGACTCAGTTATTGCCGACCTCTTCACAGGTTTGTATAAGTCAACACTCAAATGTCCTGAGTGTGGCAAGATCAGCATCACGTTCGATCCTTTCAATAATCTGACCCTTCCTATTCCTGTCGAGGACGTATGGATGGCCAAGGTCAAATTCTTGCCCCTCAACGATGTGCCGGTCATGTTTGAGGTCGAACTGCCCAAGCACAGCGCGATTGAACAGCTCAAGCAGTTCCTCTCCGCCCGGACAGGTGTACCTGTGGAGCGATTGATAGGAGGAGAAGAGTACAAGGATCGTTTCTTCAAGATTTACGACAATAACCTAGATGTTAGCGAAGAAATCGCGAAAAATGATCTCGCAACCTTCCACGAGTTGGATGCTGTCCCTACCAACTGGCCACATAAAGCGAGCAAGCCACGCTCCATGCTGGATATCGACACTCCTCTCGAAGCTCCCTGGAATGACCCGCGGTATGAGAGGATAGTGGTACCCGTATTTCACCGCATCCCATCGAACTATGGTCGTGCTCGGGATGGTGTGGCTCCCCCAAGCTTCATCTGCTTCACCAAGGAAGAAGCTTCCGACATTGACCTCATTCGACGCAAGATCCTGGAGAAGATCTCGAACTTCTCAACTTGGTCCAAGCTCAGAAACGGCCCGGAGGAGAACTCTGATAACGCTGACGGAGAGGTGGTTGCTTCGGATGCCGACTCGTCTGGCGATAGTAAGGTTGTTGCCAACTCGGTTGAAGGTGAGGATGACATTGTAGATGTGCATATGAAGGACACCAGCGAGGCTCTCCCCCATCAGCCACAGATTCTGAAGCGATTCAACAAGAGCCGACCCAAGTTTATCGACCCAGATAGCTTCCTTGAACCTGAACTGCAAAACCTTTTCGACCTTTGCTACTTCACAGACAAAGCCTACTCTGGCGATGTGCCAACGGGCTGGTCTAACGTCGATCACCATCAACTACTCCCTAAGTTGTCGGATCGCATCCCTCAGCCGTCACCCGAGGATGACGATACCGCCAGTCGCGACGACGAAAGCAGCACGCCTTCTAATGAAGATGCAAGCAGCAACGACGAGAGTATCAAGGCAGAGACGACGCAAACTAGAATGGTGGAAGAGTCCAGTGAGGAAGAAGTTCAAGAAGCTCCACGAGTAGGTCTT